TAAGGAAAATTAAGACTTAAAATCGTCTCTTTCTCCTTATTATACATCAAGCATTTGTTTTTTTCATCAAAGGAAAAATACGCAAATGAGGACTGAGACTGAGTCACGACGAAGAGAACCAAGATCTCCTCGAGCGCTGACAACATAATACATAACAGACAGACAATATAATGTTAAAAAATACGTGTGTTGTGACATCAATATATAGAGTCTACCACTAAAGGCTGTAAATATACCACGCAACTGTATTAATTAAAATTTATTTTTAAAAAACATGTAAAGTGTAATTATATAAATTAAAAATAACACAATTACAAATGTGTGTGCCTACTTCTGAAGTAGACACACACACACAGATAAATGTAAATGAAAAAACGTACTCTAAAAAAACTAAGCAAAACCTAGTGTTATTACAATACGCCGAGAGAAAGAAAGTTACACGTTCGGCCAGAAATCACATGTATAAAAAAAAGAGCAGCTCGGACTCGGAAGGTCTTTCAAAGCTCAAGCACGTAGCGATTAAAGGAATAGAGCAATCGTTCTCAAAATCGCAGCTTGAAAATGATCCGAAAAAAACGTTTGAGAGAAAAACCAAAGGAAGAAGAAGGAGGGAAAGAAGATCAGATACTCTCTCAAAAAAATAATCAGCACGACTTGCTGGTTGTTGCAGTTTGAAGACGTCCCGTTGTTTCCATACATCCCTTGTCGGAGCGCGCCACTTCATCTCTACTCACCGCGTCCGTACGTACTCATCCCACTTTAGCACCCCATGGGGGTAGCTACCCGGGGGAATCAATAACCGACGAGGGAGCGCGCAGGAGGATGCAGCGATGGGGCAGGGGTTCGGCGGGCTGTGGGGTTGGGGGTGGCACGCGGAGCGGTGGAGCTTGGCTCCGCCTCCGGCACGCGACCAGCACGCGACCGTCGTCGCCACCGTCGTCGTACTTCGTCGCACGCCTCGTCTCGCCACCTCACCGTCGCCACCTCACTCGCGGCCACCACCCCTGACCCGGATCCTTTGCTCCCCTCGATATCTCTTCTCTTTCTCCCTCCGTTTCTCTCTTGTGCGCACTTCTTCCTCTTTCCGACGACGATGTCGTGTCTTCCGCTCACGGACGGACGTTCCGGAGTCCTTACTATATCCGCGCTCTCTCGGACGGCGAAGCCACTTTTCATTGTCGTCGTCGTTGTTGTCGCGTCATCTTCTTCAACGAGATCAGATTGAGAATTTAGACACAAATTTTGCCGCGATCGATGTTACGATCTGACGACGAGCCATTATCTTATGCGAAATATAAATGTTTCTCACAGCGACGTTATCTTGTAACATGCATATCTCTCTAACGAACTGTGCCGCGTGTGCAATTTTCAATAATTGTTTGTTTCACAATGCGTTGTACACACAGCAGCCGATCAAGCGCGACTTATTATCATCTACAAGAAATCATTGAAAATTTAACAGATGTATCAGAATAAAGAACTTTTCAATGTTTAATTTAACAGATTTTATCATCAGATAGATAAAATTATCTAAACAAAAAATCATTAAGCGTAGGATGCGGATTGGATTACGTGGAGAGAAACAGTAATAATGCGTATCTAAGTGAAGGAGGAAGGAAATCAGATAGAGTAAGAGACAGGCGAAGCCAGTCCCCCACGAAGAGGGGATGAGAGTAACAGGAAGGAATCGATAACAGCGTGGCACGCGGCAGCCTGCCAACCCTTCGACTTGACTAAACCGCGTTCGGACCACCGCAACTACTTGAACCCTCGCGCTCATTCGCTCCTTTACTGGCTGTTCTAGTAAGAGAGTGCTTGCGTTTGCGCAAATTTCATTTCACTGTACTACTCTATCGCATTATTACCCATCTTCAATTGTTGTCTAACGACAGCGCGACAGCGTCCGATCGTTTCGAATGTTACATCACCATCGCTGACGCTCTTCGTAGCTGGCGACGATCCTTCGACGCGACGATTAATCACGCGCTCATGATTCTCTCATCCATCAATTAATCGCGATAGATTACTATTCACGATAACATTTTTCGAATTTGCACATATATCAATTAAAGTCAGTAAAGTTGAATCATTTTTCAATGTTATTGGTTCAGTAAAGTTTATTTTATATATATATATATTTTTTTTTATTTATTGTACGTGTACATTTGTTAAGTTTCACACATACTTAATGTTACACACACACACACATAATATATATCAATTTGTGTTTTACAAAACTTTGAAGATACGATCGATCTCGAGATACAAAAGTAAGATATAGAACAATCACAGCTGTAGTATATATAGAGATAAGCTTGGTACACACAAGTTCTTTGGAATATGTTTTATTTTCAATTTCGAGATTATATGTGTGTTATTGTGCCACAGAGCTTCGCGAAATGTTTACAAAAACATTCACTAATCATTCGCTCCAAATGTAGCGCCAGTGGATCCGGAATTTGCTTTTATCAGCTTCAATCTGAAAAATAGAATATCGATTATTGAGCATCACCAAACGTTTTCGTACAAAAATAAACTTACTTATCAATTGTTAAGTACGCGCAACATATCGAGTGGCGTTTTTTTTTGCATGATTCTTCCTAGAAAGAGGGTAATATGTAATTGGTCTACTGCGCGACTCGCACACGCGCGCGCGCGATATACAATATAACCGGAGAATCCGGAAAAAGAACTCGTAATTTTCTTTCCACCCGGCGATCTGTCATTGTACGCGGGCCGGATGTTTCACATTTTTCACCACGACATATATATGGCCGCGAGACACACGGGCAGATAAACTTTTGATAGATAGCCAATACGCATATCACGGAATTTATGAAATCTAAACTTGCCAAGTATGTACGAGCGTATATATCCGCGCTCTCTCGCGCGCGCGCGCAAGCACGTCGTGCATCACGCGGAAAGCTTATTCAACGGGATCAGTTGTGATCAGCAGCGGGTGATATTGCGCGAGAAAAATCTCTCGGAAGCGAGTAACAGAGATATTTGGCAGTCTCTCGAAGAAAATATATCGGATGGCAAAAGTAGATAAAAATCTGTAAGGGAGAATTGAAAGAAATTTATATCATCCCGTAAAAAGATACACAAGAGTGTTGAGGAACGAAGATCTGATTAGAAGATTTGTTGAGTGAAGTATAGAAGAGAGAGAGAGAGACGGACTATAATAGAAGAGGTTGCGAGGTGAATGATGCAAGTGAGAGATGCGCCCCAGAAAGGGATGTGCGTAGAGAAACTGACAGAGAGGAGAGTGAGGGATGCAAACGAAGAAATGAGTGTGGATTCATAAATTGCAAATTGTGAATTGGAGAGCACAAGTTTGTATATTTTCAGGATTTACGACTAAGAAGAAGACTAAAGAACTATATATTTCATATCTCTTTTCAATAAATATCACGAGCACGCATGAAAGCTCTCGATTTCTCACATATATTCTCTGTGCATTATCTTCAAGATGCACGAGCGTCTCGAGATCCTCAGCGTGGAACTTGCGAGAGAGAGAGAACGGAGGACGGTGGGGAATAATTAGCAAAGTTCGTGAATTACCAAGATAGCGAGAAGATTACTATTGGATTAGACGCGGCCTTTTGCCGGCCCCGGATGAAAGTCCTCGACCGATGTGCGCTTAATAGCGAGACTGCCATCGCGCGAGAAGAAGTTGGACTTTTCTTTGAACTTTTGCTATGGCGAAAACACACGAAGAAGAAACACGATTCCTATCTCGATCTCAGAATAGGGATAACAAAATAGAAAAGTGGATTCAAACTGAGGTGACGAATTGATGCAAAAAAAAATCACGAAATTACTTTCGCATTTTCTGTACGTCGAAAGTAGTACGGTCGATTTTTCCTCCAGACTATGTGTGCGTGTTTCTCGTTGCTTTACAACATTGTCTCGATCCACATCGCTCAAAACTCGCGAAACATCAATTCGATGTGTGCATATATAGTCTCTGTAACCTATGCCCGCAGGATTGTCCCTCCCCTTCATACTCTCTTCTGTCCGCCCACGGCGCGATAGGACGCGCGCAGAGGATATGCGAGAGGAAGTGCGCGGACGAGAGAGAGAAAGAGAGAGAGAGAGAGAGAGAGAGAGAGAGAGAGAGAGAGAGAGAGAGAGAGAGAGAGAGCTAGTCGAGAGTAAGTGAGTGGTTGGGTGGTTGCCTGAGTGATGGCGGCGAGAGGAGAACGAGGGAGGCAGAAGAGAGGACCGTTGGACCGGAAAGAAAAATACAGTCGCAAATCAAACAGAAAACACATTTTCGCTCTTTTTATACCTCTTTCGCGTAAATATTTGTTCTGGAAATATACGTTCGTTTCGTTTCGTTTCGTTCCATCTCTAGCAGCAGCACACCGGCCTTTCTGTTCTCATCTCAAGAGCGTGTGCCGAGGCATGGCGAATATTACGCGAACACACGCTGTACCACATGTCTCGTACTTACTTTATCGTTTATCGCTATCCACCGCTAATATACTATATACTATATATATAGTATAGTATATACTATTATAGTATATAGTATATTAGTATAGTATATATATATATATACACACACTCTACATGCACATGTGTGTATGTCCACGCGTACGATGGACATCGATAATTTTTTTTTTATGTGCGCGAGATAGACCGGACGTCTTTGCACATAGAAAGGCTTCGTACACGACGAAAACACGAGATAGCACACCGTTAGTATAAAGGCGCGTCGGCACCGCGACTCGTTCTCATTTTAAAGTTCCAAGGGATAAAAGTGGGAATACTTTAACTCGGAATGAAATTTCAAAAGAATGGGCTGAGGAGATAGTGAAGAAGAAAAGAGGGAGACGGCGTGAGGGTGTTTCTCTCTTCAGCCAGTCGGCTTTTCCTAGGCTGAAAAATGTGTAATACGAGCTTGTAGTCCGCCCCACACCTTCACGGTCCACCCCTTCCCCTGCTCTCTCTCTCTCTCTTGCCTCCATGTTCCTACCATCTTTTTTTCCTCCACCCCCAACGGTTCTCTCATTCTCTCATTCTTTCTTTCTTTCTCTCTCTCTCTCTCTCTCTCTCTCTCTCTCTCTTTCTTTTCCATGTACATTCCAGTTTCGTTACTCGGATAGCTGAGCGGACATATTGAAAGTACGTAGACAATACCAAGTTGCTTTTGTGCCGCGCGTCGCTCTTGTACGAATATTATCCCGGACGAAAGATACTTGCAGATTTTTGAAGAAACTTGAAATCGGATTCGCGACGCAATTTTGATACCGCGTTGATCGACATCGATCCTTGCCGGTTGTGCTCCACTAAATTATCGATTACAGAGCCATTGCTTTTCGTACGCGTTCACCATTACATCGCTACTGCAATATTTCTTGATTGTATGTCGTGCTTCACAAGTCTAGAAATAACTATTGCAAAAATAGATCACGTCGCGCCTTTTTATTCCTATAGAGTTAGAAGTAACATAATACCTCTTCTCCTTATCGTTTTCTTGTTCAAAGAAAATTCGTATGGCAGGTACAACGACGAGGCAAAAGTCCACACGTCTTCGTTTGTCCAATCACGCAAAGGATTGTCGATCCGCAATTGGTCTGCGCCACTATAGTTACGATTAACTTGATTCTCCCCGGTCTCTCCAACCTTGCCAACTAACAATATTCGCAAGTGTGGTTGCAGAAATGTTAATTTGCTTATCCTTTTATCGGGCGCAGCTTTCACGATACATGCGGCTAAGTTATATCTAACAAATATACAATCCAATTTTCAGTTTCCTAAATAAAATTGTATGTAGTTTTTTTTTTCAGATATATTGCACGAATTTTATTTGATTTATGTTAGTAAAATAGAATTTTCTTATATAATTTGAGAATAAATGACCATGTTCTGTATTACTTGTTGACCATTTCGTTGAGAAATTCTTCCAACTTCGGTGGCGCTTGTTCATCCTTGAAGTAAACTACTTGCAACTTGTCGCTCGAATGCAATTGGACTCTACATATATGAGCGAGATGAACAATGACGCTTGATTCTATACTACCATCGATACATATTGAAACATGTTCGTTGTTTCTATAAAACTGTCTAAATGTAATAAAAAATAGTAGTCAGTATAGCACGTCGAGATTTTAAGTTTAACATGTAATTATGTTCTTTTTACCTAAACTTTTCGAGCGATCGCTCGTAAAGTGACGAACGTGAGGAATTTTTTTGAAGAAAATTATTGTACTTGATGAGACTGTCTATATGTGGAGTCCGGTCGAAATCGACGAAAATGTTTGCCGGATTCAATTCTTGAAATCTTTGTTTTGCTTTCTTGGTGTCACTTTCGTTATCGCTCTCTATAGTTACGAACGCTTTAAAATACCTATGCATGCATCTCGTATTTATCTACATACTCTTCTTATCTATTTCTTGAAATAGAAACATCTTGCTAATACATACATAGCTAATTTAACATTGTTATATGAAGAAAACTACTTAAATCTAAGAAACATGTATTCAGTATGCACGTGTTACTTCTTCCGATCCAAACATATTTAATGGAAATGTAAAATTTCGAAAACTTAAAAATGCTTCTTTTTTTAAATAATAATTTTCGCTCTGATTTACCTGCAATTGCTCACCGGATAGGAACCAAAAGAAACATTAGGAAATTCTTTTACTACGGTTGATAAAGCATTTGCAAATACTTCTTCCCAAGCTTGTATAAATACCTCTTCTTTTACAAATCTTCCGTTTGTGGAAAGCAATTCCTAAAACAAAGAACACGAAAGTACAAATTAATTTGAGAAAAATATGCCAATAAAGGTTTTATCAAGTATCATCTACCTTATATAAACATTTGAAGGATTTCTCAAAAAATACAGGTGAGCCAGGAAAAACATAAACATTGTTTAGTACTATATACGGATAAGCGTTTGGTTTGCCTGTATCTGGATTGATACCAAATTTCAGAGATGCTTTTTTGGGTATTTGAGCCATTTTGTAAGCAACAGATGAAGCGTCCTTGACTCTAAAGTGATGTTTTATTATATCCACCAATTTAGGATGATAATGTAAAGTATCATTGAAGGCTTTGGCAAGTCCTATACATTATGTTTAAAAAAAAATTAGTATGTGTATAATTTCTCTCATTCTTTAGTAAATACAATATGTTTACCTTCAAATGTAACATCGTCATGTGTAGGTCCAATTCCACCAGATGTTATAACATAAGTGTACTTGTCACAGGCATTTCTAATTTCTTCAGAGATTTCCTCAACATCATCGCTTATGACAGAGATCTGTGTATAAGAAATATTGTATTTAATATTATTATAAAAATAATAAATAGTTAAGTTTGTAACATTTAAAGAGAAAACTAATAATAACCATTGTCAGACGTTAAATGCTCACCTTTTTCACTACAATACCACATTTGTACAATAGATCGCTCATATAATAAGAATTGGTATCCTTTACTTGTGCCTTTAATATTTCATTGCCAATAACTAAAAGTGCATATATATTAAAGAATATAAAGTTTCAGCTAAGCTATTTAAATATATAGTTTTATTCTTCTGACCAATGATTCTTGCTGTAGGATGTTTCGAAGGATTTGCATAATATCGTGACGAAATTCGAGCACAGGCCACACATTTTCTCATACAAATATGAAAAAGACAATTATGTAAATTTATCATTATAAATTTTTCAAGTTCTTTATTTATACATAAATATAAAAGTTTCGGGTTTTTTTATATATTTAAGTTGTAACTTCGCAAAAATATTTGCAACGCGTATAAAACATAATCGGTGTCTCTCGAATTGGTTAGAATCACATTATCGGAAAAGTCCAGTTTTGGAAATTACATGAGCGTAAAATATATTGTATGAAGTTTTGTAATATTTGTCCTGTGAGTATATATAACTTTTTGCGTGATGTTTGGACATTCATTCAATGTAACTGAACGTCACAATAATCGATGACACTTTCGTTAAACCACTCAAACCTCAAGCCTAAAATCACAGGCAGGAAATTCAAACTCATCTCTTGTGAAAAGAAGAACGATGTTTACAGCGCTACCTGGGACCTGGGACGTGAACCAGAAAGTACCGAACTAAAAACGAGTGGAGCGAAGTTGGCGGCCATATTTAGGGCCGTATTCATAGTCCGTACGTTATTTTTAAGATCGCCTTATGGCTAGTCCACAATGAAGGTAGTAAGATTGTAGGAGTAGAGAGTAAACTATTTTTCAAAAGCGCAAACGCAAGAAACAGGTCTGGTAGAATTGACTAATCGTATTGATCAAATCAGCCAATTGACCAGCGTGATTGGTCAATTCTACGAGATCTATACCTTGCGCTTGCGATCAGTGTAGAACGGGCTTAAAACCATTAACGCGTGTAGATTGATGCTTTTGAACCCATCTCAGACATTCGTCAATATAAGATGTACGAGTCGCACATTCGAAAAAAATAAATTTTCACAAAAGGTAAAATTACGGTGGATTTGCCTATATACAACATAAATTTATAGCAATATAAATCTCTTACAACATTTAACAATGTTTACATACATTAAATTCCCACATATGCAAAAACTTTGTTAATTTTATATAAAATAAGTTTCATCTGTTCGTTTGCTCGGATAAATTAAGAACAAAGAAAGTTGAAAAGCTGACAGAACACAGCCTAGAAAGTTTGGTATTTGTAGAAACGGATCGCCCAGCAGACATCCGTACGCAAACCATTGACAGGTGACTACCAGAGAAGCCACTATAACTGGAAATGGCAAACTCTCTGCACTTTTTACTCTTATTACATGTGCCTGCAACAAATTTTAAATCTGTTAATCAGTCTAAGATAATGAGCACAAATAAATAAAATTATTGATTATTTTTATTCCTGGACTTACAAGCGAAATCAGAGGTGATGCAAAAAATAATACTGTTAGAGTACAACTAAGAAATCCTACATGTTTTGCAGCTAACTCTTTGTCCTCTTGATACATGCTATAGGAATACACGAAAAAAACAAAGCCAGTTGCTGCTGTAAATTGCTTAATAGTAGTCCACTTTTTTACACTGTATAAGAAATAAATCAGTACGTAGCATAGCTGTAATATCGCTCCAAAAATGTTTACAGATACAATAAATAAGTCTCCAATGAGAGCTCCATATCTTAACCACAAGCTGCAACTATGTAACACAAGAGATAGAATTAAAACTATGTTAGTATTTTTTTATACGTAACAGTTTTATAATACATACGACATAAAGCATGTTAGAAAGGCCAAACCCGAACTATCTCCAGTTGTGCCACTTTTAATATACTTGCTGCATACCACTCTGTAATCAAATCTTTTGCTAAACACATTCAGTATTTTAAAAAATTATCAGATATTAAACAGAGACAACGTGTACACAAAGATAGCTTGTTATTATAAAATAAAAAAAATTTAAAATTCAAAAAAGTGAAACATGGTATCACAGACCATCAGAGTAGATATAAAAAATACGGTTATATCTTTTTATAAAAAAAAAGCACACCTTATATTGATAAATTTAAATATCACGATTACATTAATACTCACATGCCAGCTAGAAATTGTAAAATCGTGCATATTGATGCAGATAACGCAAGAACATCCGTAATTTCCATCGAAATCATGACTTAGAATACACATCTCTCTCATACAGATCATTTGACACTCGGGTCCGATTTATTTTGCGTTGTCTTCGCTAGGTTGTGTACCAATTAAAAAAAGTTTAACCCCAAACAAATAATAAAAGTTGGGTAAATATATTTAAATTATTTGTCCTACACTTTGATAAAAATATTTCTCTCCAATTCTTTTAGTTAGAAAAAAACAGATTTTGAGATGACAAATGTCGTCTAGTGTTAAAGATAAGATAACAAACTTGTTTTGTCCTTTCCGTTTAATGTGCCATCAACTGCTATCACAACAGGTGTGGTTGGTTTGGTGCATATATGGCTCAAAGGACCGTTTCAAGCTAGTCCATACGCCATTCTAAGTCTTTAGGAATCGTGACACAGGTTCTAAACCGTGGTTTGGGTACAAGCCACGGAGTTGTACGTTCGTTAAAAATACTGATAAACTGAAGAAATCGGTGTAAAAACACCGAAGATTGTCCAAAAATATCTAAGCGTAACTACGCACATCTAACCGGTACGGCTGATGCAACACCTCACAACAGGTGTGTTCTACTTAAACAAAAAGTGTAAAGCAGAGAGTAGAATGAGAGGTTTGGTTTGGTGCTCTTTTGGCTCAGTAGACCTATAAAGCTAGTCCATACGCCATTCTATGTCATTTTGATAACAGGTTTAAAACCGTGGATTGGGTTCCTGACGCCAAGCCACGGAGTTGTACACTTGTTTAAATTAAAGGTAATAATAAAGAAAGTGGTGTAAAACACCGACAATTGTCCAAAACTATTCACTACGCACATCCAACCGACATGGCTGATGCAATCCAACTTTTGTGTAGAATGAGAGAGCGGGGAAGACCACGGCCATAAGAAAATATGTAATCACTTTTCGTGGACACGGGGGGTCGCGTCGATTCTCGCAGTGTAGTGAGAACTACAAAAGTGAGCGAATTTACTAAAATATCTGTGATCTTATTGGTCAGGAACTAGTAAATTTGCTAATTTTTGTAAATGCGACTTAAGGTCTGTTCTTTTTCCGTACTTTGGCCGCACTAGTTCACAGTCTATCTTTTTTTTATCTATATTAAGCCCGTTCTACATTGACCAGCGTGATTGGTCAATTCTACGAGATTTATATCTTGCGTTTGCGCTCGCGATCAATGTAGAACGGGCTTTAGTTTTACGATTGCGATTATGGCTGCGGTCCGTTTCATGCTTAATCGCGCATTTATCTGTAATATATGTCACGTATACTATAGATAAATGTGCGGTTAAGCATGAAACGGACCGCAGCCTATATTGTCAAGTGAAACCTATTCTTCCTCCACATCTTTAAAGGGTCGTCTACAATGGAGAGTTTTAGACTGTAACAGTAAGAAATTGACAAATCACAGGCAAAGTACAGAAGAATAATCGATTGTGATTTGTCAATTTCTTACTGTTACAGTCTAAAACTCTCCATTGTAGACGACCCTTTAAAGATGTGGAGGAAGAATAGGTTTCACTTGACAATATAGGCTGCGGTCCGTTTCATGCTTAACCGCACATTTATCTATGTGCGGATAAGTGCGGATAATGGAGAGTTGTAGTAGGCCATAACAGTAAGAAACTGACAAATCACAATCGATTATTCTTCTGTACTTTGCCTGTGATTGGTCAATTTCTTACTATTACGCATGATGTAAATATACCAGGTGTATCATTCCCGTGAATGCGCAGTGGTTCAAGTAATGGCCGCTCTCCGAACCAATCAAAAATTTGCCCCAAATTTTAAAACTAGCGTAGTCACTAGCAGTGTTACAAGATAGGACAGGTTAGAACAGTGTATTAC